GTGGGGCTGGGGATCAGGAGGGGGGGCTGGGGAGCGGGGAATGAGGCTGGGGGCTCAGAAGGGGGCACTGGGCTGCGGGGAGCGGGGCTGGGGGCTCAGCAGGGGGCGCTGGGCTGCAGGGAGTGGGGCTGGCGGCTCAGAAGGGGGCGCTGGGGAGTGGGGCAGGGGGCTCAGCAGGGGGCGCTGGGCTGCAGGGAATCGGGCTGGCGGCTCAGAAGGGGGCGCTGGGGAGCGGGGCTCAGCAGGGGGCGCTGGGCTGCAGGGAGTGGGGCTGGCGGCTCAGAAGGGGGCGCTCTCCCCAGTCAGCACAGACTCTATGGGGCATTGTGCTCACAGATGCAGCATGTTTGAAATGAGCTGTAATACTGAGTCTATGCTCTGTAAATATCCCCTATTTCCCCCACAAATTGGGGGGTGAACCCTGCCACAGTCACAACCGATTCATTTTGGCCTGCCTCAATTCACCGGCGGGGGGTCCCCATATACCCAGTACCCGTGCCCTACCCCAGAGGGGCCGCATCTCAGTGCCCGGTGACGGGTCCCTGTATACCCAACCCCCTCGCCCCACCCACAGTGTAGCTGCATTTGAGTGCCAGGTGAGGGGTCCCCATATAACCAGCCCCCGCGTCCCACCCCAGAGAGGCTGCATCTCAGCGCCGGGTGAGGGGTCCCCATATAAAGAGCCACTGGCACAGAAACATGGGGTGGGGGGAGTTTGCCTGAATCCAACCCCAGAGGCCGATGGAGTCGGGGAGAGGGCGGGATTCCCACACGCCCCAGCTGAGAGGCCAGCAACAAATTGGGAATTCCCGAGTAGGAGGAAATATTCAGTACTAAATTGATGGGCCCTGGTATCCCACCCCCTCCCTGTCCCCCAGATCAGATCCCCGGGCCCATCTACACCGGTATCCTATCCCCTCCCTGCCCCCAGAACAGACCTCCGGGCCCATCTACCCCGGTATCCCACCCCGTCCCTGCCTGCCGAATCAGACCCTCAGGCACATCTACCCTGGTATCCTGCCTCCTCCCTGCCCCCTGAATCAGACCCCCGGGCCCATCTACCCCAGTTTCCTGCCTCCTTCCTGCCCACCAGATCAGACCTCCGGGCCCATCTACCCCGGTATCCCACCCTGCCATCTGATAAATGGGGAGGTTGGGAGCCAGGACTCCTGGGTTCTCTCCTGGCTCTGGGAGGTGAGTGGGGTCCAGTGGTGCAGATGGGGGCAGGATGCTGGCTGGGCATGTTCTACGGTGGCTGTGGGGAAATCCAGCCCCACACCCAGCGCTCACATGATCCTGGAGCATCTGGAACCCATTAGGGGAGGCTGGGACAGAGGGATGTTTGTGTGTGTACATGTGGGGGGGGGGGGGGGGGGGTGGGGGGGGGGGGGGGGGGGGGGGGGGGGGGGGGGGGGGGGGGACTTCCCGCCTCAGAGTTAGTCTTCCCCCTTGGATTGGAACCGGGAAGTGCGTGGGGACGAACGGGAGACTGGGGAGTGGGGCGCGGAAGGACTGGGGGGTAGCCAGGAATCTGGGGGGACAGGGGTGTGGGCTGGCTCCTGGCTGGTTGGGGGGGGGAAGGCCTGGTGGGTGTCCTGACGAAGGGGGTGTGAGGATCTGGCCCAGGCCTCAGGAGGTGTTTGGGCATGGCCAGGCTCCCCATTGACACCCCCTATCTCTGACCCCCCCCCAGCACTCACCATGAGCTTCCTCCTCTTTGCCATCTCGGCCCTGCACGTCCTCATCCTCGTGCTGCTCTTCGTCGCCACTCTGGACAAGGTGAGACGCCCCCACTCCCAATGCCAGGCAGAGGACCCAGGAGTCCTGGCTCCCAGCTCCCCTGCTCTAACCACCAGCCCCCACTCCCTTCCCAGAGCCAGGGAGAGAACCCAGGAGTCCTGGCTTCCAGCCCCCTCTGCTCTAACCACCAGCCCCCATTCCCTCTCAAAGCCAGGCAGAGAACCCAGGAGTCCTGGCTCCCAGCTCCCCTCTTTTAACCACCAGCTCCCTCTCCCCTCCCAGAGCTAGGGAGAGAACCCAGGAGTCCTGGCTCCCAGCTCCACTGCTCTAACCACCAGCCCCCACTCCCTCCCCAGAGCCAGGGAGAGAACCCAGGAGTCCTGGTTTCCAGAGCTCCTGCTGTAACCTCTGGACCCCAGGCTGGGGGAGGGGAGGGCATCTCAGGGCCCTGTGCTAATCCCCCTTATCCCCCCAGTCGTGGTGGGTGCTGCCGGATGATGAGACTGTCAATCTGTGGTACGACTGTCTGTACGACAACAACACCCAGAGCTGGGTGTGCGCCTCTGTTGCCGACAGCCGTGAGTGGGGGACCCGGAGCAGGGAATGGGGGGAAGGGGGTGGTAAGCATGAGGGGGATGGTAGGGGAGTGCCACGGGGTGATGATGGGATGGGGCAGTCCCAGATATTTTGGGCCAGCCACGCCACACCCCAGAAGGGCCGCATCTCTGTGCCAGGCAAAGGGTCCCCAGATAACCAACCCCTGTGCCTCATCCCAGAGGGGCCGCATCTCTCCGCCGGGCGAGGGGTCCCCATATACCCAGCCCTCGCACCCCACCCCAGAGGGGCCGCGTCCCAGTGCCGGGCGATGTCCCCGTATACCCAGCCCCCACGCCCCACCCTAGAGGGGCCACGTCCCAGTGCCGGGTGATGTCCCCGTATACTCAGCCCCCACGCCCCACCCCAGAGGGGCCATGTCCCAGTGCTGGGCGATGTCCCCGTATACCCAGCCTCCACGCCCCACCCCAGAGGGGCTGCATCCCAGCGCCAGGGGAGGGGTCCCATATACCCAGCCCCCGCGCCCCACCCCAGAGGGGCTGCATCCCAGCGCCAGTGGAGGGGTCCCATATACCCAGCCCCCACGCCCCACCCCAGAGGGGCTGCATCCCAGCGCCGGGGGAGGGGTCCCATATACTCAGCCCCCACGCCCCACCCCAGAGGGGCCGTGTCCCACCGCTGGGTGATGTCCCCGTATACCCAGCCCCCGTGCCCCACCCCAGAGGGGCTGCGTCCCAGCGCCGGAGGAGGGGTCTGTGGTCTCACCAGTGGCTGTTCTTCGGTCCCCAGAGTGGCTCCACGCCGTCCAAGCCCTCATGGTCCTGGCTATGCTCTTCTCCAGCTTTGCCTTCGTCCTCTTCATGTACCAGCTCTACACCATGGAGCGCGGGGGGCTCTTCTATGCCACCGGCGTCTGCCAGCTCTTGGCCTGTGAGTGCCCAGCCCCGCGCCATGTAACCAGCCCCCGCGCCCTGCCCCAGAGGGGCCGCATCACAGCACCACTTTTCTCCCTGGCTCTGGGAGGGGAGTGGGGGCTAGTGGTTGGGTTGGGGGGGTGGGGCTGGGTGCCAGGACTCCTGGGTTCTCTCCCCGGCTCTGGGAAGGGAGTGGGGGCTAGTGGTTGGGTTGGGGGGCTGGGAGCCAGGACTCCTGGGTTCTCTCCCTGGCTCTGGCAGGAGAGTGGGGGCTAGCAGTTGGTGGGGCTGGGCTGGGAGCCCGGACGCCAAGCTGCTCTGGCCTGAAGCTGCCCCTCACCCCTCCTCTCTCTGTTGTCCCCCTGCCCCCCGGTGCAGGTATCTCGGTGTTCACAGCCGCCTTGATCTACGCCATCCACGTGGGCAAATTTCACCTGGTCCGGCAGCCGGGCGGCTCCTTCGGCTACTGCTTCGTGCTGGCCTGGCTGGCCTTCCCCCTGGCGCTGCTCAGTGGCGTCATGTACATCCACCTCCGCAAGAGGGAGTGACCCCCACCCCCGTCACAGGGGGGCTGCTCCTGACCATGGCCCATGCCAGTGGAGGGGGAGTCATCCCCAGGGGCTGATCCCTTCCCCCTGCCCCATGGCGGCCTGACCGTCACACGCTGCTGGGGCCCTGGAGCCTGTCCTGGCCACACCCAGCTCTCTTCGCCTTGCCCATGCCAGGGGCCCCAGGGTCAGGTCCCCCTCTGCATGGGCACCTGCTCTCCTCCTGCCCATGGCCAGGGTTCACTCCTGCCTCCATAAGGCCCCATGGCCACCCCTGCTCCCCTCTCCGCAACCCATTGTGGGTGGGACAACCCTGGTCATGGAGGGGATCCCCCCCCCGCCTGGGGTGACACTGTCCAATCATATCACTGAACATGCTGGGGATGGGGTCCCCCTGGCCATGCCTTACAAATATGGGTGCCACGCATACAAATCTGGGGGTCACACCCCTTGCCCATGCCTGGCAGAGATGCCCTGGTGTCAGATCCCCCATGGGCATACACCCTGGTCTCAGATCGAGCCAGCGCCGGCTTCCCGCGGCTGCAACTCCTGGCTCACTGCCTCATTCTGCTCCAACTCGGGCGTCTGGATGGGTGGAACTGGGCACCAGGGCATTGGTGCCCAGCTGAGGGCCCCCCCGCTCCCATCAGGGCATCTGCTCTCACCATCCTGGTCCAGAACGTGGCTTACAAATGTGGGGTCCACCCCTTCGTGACAGGTGTGGCACCCTCCCCTCCGCAGAAAGGAGGTAGGCACCAGGAAGGTGGTCCTAGGGGAGGGACACCCCTTCTTTCCCAAGATGGGGATTTCCGGGCTCCCATGGAGCCTTCCTTTGGCAGCATCTCAGTACACGGCTTCTGTCCAGCCACATGCCAGCCGCAGCCCCGCGCCTGGGCTCCATCATTTATACCTTTGGACAATAAAAAAGTGACCTTATTGATCCGTCTGGTGGCTTTGACAGCACTTATGCCTGAAGCAAGGGATTGTGGGTAGGGCCGGGCCACATGGCTGCCCCCTGGCCACACCAACTTTCTAAGTCACCCAATGGAGGTGGAAATCACCCCCGCGCTGGGAGGGGGGGGGAGCGGCTTTGCCCCCAGGCTGGCATGCCCTGCAAAGATCAGGGATCAAACAAGAAACCGCTTTATTGCACTGCAAATACAGTAGAAACTCCCTTCCCCGCAGAGGCTTTCAGGCCAGGGAATAAAGCTGGGCTCCTAAGGCTAAGACTTTTTACCATCGCTCACCGGGGGTGGGAGCCTGCGCTCCCGGAGGGGAGTGGGGTCTAATGCTCAGAGCAGGGGGGTTGGTAGTCTGGACTCCTGGGTTCTCTCCCTGGCTCTGGCAGGGGAGTGGGGTCTAGTGGTTAGAGCTGGGAGCCAGGACTCTTGGGTTCTCTCCCCGGCTCTAGGGAAAGGTGCTGGCTTAGAGCCTGACTAGTCAGGAGTCAACGTGGCCAGCTGCCCCCCTGGCATGAACTGGCCCTGGCTCCATCGGAGGCAATGGGAGGTGTGCTGCGTGCAGCCCCACCCCTGGCGACTAAAGTGCTTTCAGTTTGGGGAGGAGGCCCAGCGTTCTTCCACTCCTGCCTGAAAGTCTCTTTCTCACACACAAATCAAGGCCAGGCGCTGTGCAAATCAGCAGCGGAGGAAAGCACGGGAGGAGCCAGAGCGAAGCAACCCCTGCCAACCAGCCGGCAGGTCTGAAATCACGGCCTGAATTCTGCATGCAGCCCCGCTGGCTCGGGCGGGCCGATCCCACTCCTCTCGCAGCAGTGCAGACGCTCGCTCCAAGAGAGGCGCCGGGTGCGAATCCATGTGCCACCGGCAGCCAGCGCTGGGGTCCGGGCACACAACAGGGAGGGTTCGGCCGGGTGGGCTTTGGGCACTCTCTTGCTGCCAAAGCGAAGGGGGATCCAGGGTCCAAATCCCTTGCTGGGGAGGGGGCTGTAATGGGGCCAGAGCCCTCCGGGCTGAATGGGCTTTGATCCATTGGTGTCAATGGGCCGGCGCTCCCCTGCCAATTTCCCAGCATCCTTCTTGAATGGTGGCCAACAGAACCCCTCGGGCACCAGGCGGCCAGAGGGGGTTAATGACCCAGCAATCCAGCCCTGGCAGTAGCTGGGTAACGGCAGGGCCATGCCAAGCATGGGAGTTGGCAGGACTCCCAGAATGCACCAGGAACATGCTTAGAGTGTGTGCGCATGGGGGGGGCTCAGTTCTCCTCCCCCACAAGGTGTTGCATGCTCGATAGAGGGCCCCCTCCGGTGCTGTCCCTGCCCTTCCCTCCGGAGTGGCTGTAGCGCAGCCGGGAGAAGGGACCGGGGGTGCCCACGCTGCAAACAGCCAGAGGGCGTCAGTGGGACCCAGGGGCCATGGCGGGATCGGCCCGGTGCCCCTCCTCTAGGCTGAGCAGGTGCCGGCAGGCGCGGTCGGCGCAGAAGGAGACTTCCAGGCCCGAGTGGAGCTGCAGCCACGACTGGACGTGCTCCTGAAGGCCAGCCACGATCTCAGGGTCTGGGGAGAGAGGAGGCCTGGGTCACCCCTGGGGAGAG